CATATCTAGGTACAGTAAGGCACAACAATTGATGTAATCTACTGTAATTTGGTGAGTAGGCCTACCTTTAATATACAGTATTAGTGCGGTGTGTATTGTCAGTGAAAAGCGCTGTAATATGTCTTTGATATTACACATTTGGGCAATTGCATGTTAATGTTACGTTAGTCTGTACTTAACTACGTATTTCACTAAAAAATGCAACATTTTAACTCGGTTTTTGGTAGATTTTTACGTGACTAACATAAGGCTACTGTGAAAGTGCCCATTTCGGTTACAACAACATTCGTTTATAACGACACTATTTTTAGGTCCCTTCGTTGACGTTATAACCAAGTTCTACTGTATTTGTTCTTGGCACTTACAGCTGTTCCCTCTGTACTGCTCTCGATCTGTTGAAGCAAATACTGTAAAACTGTCTTATATATGGCTCTGACCTGCTTATAGGACTTAAATTTGACAGATCTTGCTTATATTTTATGCCAAGAAATCACAATGAACTTAAAATCTAAAATGGAAACTTCTGAACTGCTCTCAAGAGGGTAAATTTGTAGATGTTAGGACTAGAATTTTTGGCAAAGAAGGTTTAACTTCACTATAAAAATGTTACAATTTTTCCTTTGTAAATATTTTTGCATTAACAAACTTTATTTTTAAAGTACTGAGAGGTGTGGAAGAGCATGTTCCAGTTTGGTATTGATGTTTATTTGTTACATTAATTTATTATAAATAATAAACACAAATGTTATATTAATGAAATACTGTACTTTATGTTATGGACAATAATGTACATTTTGGAATTTTGTTTAGTTATGTAGACAAGCACTTTCAATTCTTGCATAACTAATAAGACTGGAATATAGTATCAGTTTAACAAGATTATTTAGAGACCTGAAGCCTTGGAGTTTTCACATTCAAGAGTATTTATATATGTTGCTTTCTTCGTTGTTTATTTTATTAGACCAAAGTCTCTCATTTGCCTCTTGCAGTTATGATCTTTTGAGTTTCCTCCTTATGGCTGATTGATTCTGTGGCATCATTCATACTTTCCTGATGTTGATTTTGTAGTTCAGATGCTGAATGTAGTGAAATGTGTGCAGTTGTCATTTCATTATTCTCTTCCACAGAAACTGGTTGATCTTTGGTACAGTTTGGTCCAATACTTATTTGAATATCACTTGGCAACCCAGTAAAAGTGTTTTCACTTACTAGTCCACGGCGCTTATGTTCCTTAAACCGTCCTGAACGCGATATTGACATTCTTCGCCTACCAGTTTCAATTGAATCATTATCAGCACCACCATTTGAAGTTTTAGTTTTGTGAGAATTGTCCTTAAAGAGGCCAAAAAATCGCTTGGATGACATGTTTATAAATGCATTACACTTGTAATTGTGACACTAATGTAGTTGAAGTGAACCCTCAAAACATGATGCATATAAGCAGTTTTCTAATGCATTTTTTGTACTGTTTAGAGTAGCAATCTTAAAAGCTACTAACACTCACAATGTTGTGGGTAAACTTGCACACACTGATGGTGAAAATCCCTTTGCAACTTGTGCACTGCAGAACACTGATTATCAGAGTTGCACTAATGGAGATAACCAAATCATGATTCTACATTTCTAAAGATAATGGCATCAGTTATCAGGTACTTGAGGACAAAACAACTTTTTTTCTGTGCTGTGATCGATACGTAATAATAAAGTATTCCTGTCATGTTCAATGGTCCTATGCCAAAATGCATTACATAAATACCCACATTCTGGCAATGTATTTCCAGAGTTCTGAAATCTGATCGCAGCACATCGTCATGTAATGACCACATTGCAAACAAGCCCAAAATACATATATTGTCTGCAGTATTCGTTTATTATGCTAATGACTTTTATGCAGGAGGTATCCAGAATTTGTCTAAATGGAGACGGTCAGGCTGCTGGGGTGGTGACATCTGAAGGCCGTGAAATCAAAGCTACCATAGTTATGTCCAATGCTACACCATATGTAACATTCCAGAAATTGCTTCCCCAAGCTGCTTTGCCAGAAAAGTTCCAGGCTGCTATTGAAAGTATCAATTATGCATCTCCAATAACAAAAATTAATGGTCAGTACAATTATTTTACTGTATGAAATTGGGTGACTATAGGAGAATCAAAGTGTTTTCTGATGTTTATTAATGCATGATTGTACATGAAGGCAATGAAAATGAAAGAAGTCAGCTAAGGTTATTGTAAAATGTGTTGTTCTAATGTTGCAGCCTCATGATAACCTGATTCACAAGATTTGTATTATAATTTCCTTGCATGATAAGCTCTTTTACAAAATATTAAATAAACAGTCAAATTTTCTAATCCTAAAACAATTCACGTTATACTGAGCTTGTATATTGGTGGAACTTGTTGAATGTATATACATTTTAAATGGGGACTTCATATGATCATCAGAAAATTTCAGTCTGAAATTTAAATACTCTAGTTACAAAAATATCGATATAGCCCTTCAAAATTATATGCCCCTTTGCTAAAAATATTTTTTTTAGAGAATCAATATTAATTTCATAGAGAAAATCCGATGAAGCAAAAAAAAAAATTGCATTAGAATTCTACCAGTTCTGCAGAGCAAAAAGACTCTTACAAGGCAACTTCTCTATCTTTGAAGAACTATTAAATGTCAAGCAGTTATTAGTAGAGTGAAACTGACATTTAAATGCCAGAAATCACTAAAATTAAAAATTAAAAAACTTCTTTAGGAACATTGTGTATAGAATTTTCATATATGCCATATGTGCCTCAACCAACTACTGTTTGAGACACTGTGCTATGAGCTGGTAGTCGCAGATTCGATGCCTGATGAGGTCACTGGATTTTTTAAATTTACCTACTCCTTCCAGCCGCACTATGGCCCTAGGTTTAACTCAGTGTCTAACAGAAATGAGTACCAGGAATTTTCCTGAAGGTCAAGGTTGCCAGCATGTAATAGTGGCAACCTCACTGCCACCTGTGAGCCGACTGTCTAGAAATGTAAGCGCCTCGACATCTCACAACCCTATGGGCCTCCGCAGCCTGTTACAGGGATAGCTTTATCATACTTCATGTTGGGGAGATGCATGATTTATTTCAAATGGAAGGCAAGGTTGCATTTCCAATTGTCCCAGTACTTTCATGGAATGCTTAAAATGGAAGTTACAATGAACTTTTAAAATCTAGAATTCCTATTTACTATGATTCCCTTTAAATAAAATAAATAAATTAGTTTTTCTGCAAAAATCTTAGTAATAATTTCTAGATACCGTAGACTCATGTGGCACAGATATTAATGTAATCTAAAGCAATGCTTCACTGCCAGTTATTGCACACTGTGATGTGGCATGTAAGGTGATGGTCACAAAATAGGAAAACCAAAAAAATTAGACTGCAGCAATACATTGTACCTACAGTCAAATGCAGTGATTGGTTAGTCTGCTATGCACGTGCTACAGATACAAATTAAGACTCTATAGTATGCTGATTAGGTTGACAATCAGTGGTAGGTATGCATGGCATGGAAGCTGACATGGTTCTTTTGAATGAATCAGCATGACAGCCAATGAGTATCTCCACTGCCACCCATAGCAACCATGACCTTATCACCTTATTGGTGATCTTTTCACTCAAGGCAAAGAGACTTGGGATATGTAAGACAAACCCCGGACAGGATGCTTGTGATATGCTGCTGTGTTGATGTCATTGCAAACGTGACTGCTAGTGTTCATGTTCCATAAGAAAAAACTATGCAGGAAGGGGGTACCAGTAGTTATTCTGGCCAGTGGATACTCCAACAGCACAAATACCACCAAAACAGAACACACAATGATTATGAATTGCTCAGCAATGATACTGAAAAACATCTTGAATTTTGTGAGTGCTTTCAGCAAACATGAGAATAGCAGAAGCATGCTTTCATCTCAGTGATACCATCAAGAGACATAATATCATGTAATGGTCAGACTATGTAGCTCCTGAGAAGCTCTAGCAAACTGATTCCCAAATTGCATGGTGCAGCATTTGCAGTAATGCTACTCTGGGGCATATTTTTTTATTGCTAGTGGAGTGGGACTAAGTCCCTTGTAGTGCAGCCACTTCTGGCCTATTGTACCAGCCCCAGATGATAGGTGAGGGTGATTGTGGAGCAATTGGGGGAATGAAGATTGGCAGGAGAAACCAAAGTACTCGGACAAAACCTGTCCCAGCGCCACTTTGTTGACCACAAATCCCACTTGACCAGACCTGGGATCGAACCCGGGCCGCCGCGGTGGGAAGCCAGCGACTAACCGCTTGAGCTATTATGCGGCACTCTGGGGCATATCCTTCAGGATAACATGTTTACAGTAGACGCTTACTGCCACTTCCTGAGAACATGTTGCAACCTTACTTAGATGCAATGGCCTTCAGATAATGCCATTCATTTTGCTTCCAGCAGGATACAGCATTGCTGCACTGCGCATCATTGATTAGACTAGTTTTTGTGTGAACAGTTGATTGGTCCAAGGTGGCCTGTGGAATGTCCAGCAAGTTCTCCAGATTTCATATCACTGGCTTTTTTGCTGTGAGGGTCACTTAAAATCCATGGTGTATGATGACTCACCACTAAGTATTGCTGCATGCACAGCCGTAACCCTAGTATAAGCAACAGTATGGACACTGACTATAGTGAATGTACAAAACTTTGTGGTGTTCCACACACACACGTGTGGTTTTGTGGACTTGCAACATTTTGCCAGAGTTTGCAGTGCTGTTTCTATATGAGTACACTAACATACAAAGGTTTTGTTAACTATTCCTGCTTCATGTACCTGACTTTTAATCATTGCTCCTTCCCACTACCCCTGTCTAGTCACCTTGGCAATAACACAACATATAACTGCTAATATGTAGAGTGCACAGCCATAACAGTATGCCCTGCATAAAGAATTATAACACCTGAGACTGGAAATACCTGATATGCAACAATTATCCTTCTTCATGCATGCCCACATATTTCCAAATAAATGTAATCTGTACGAGTATGTTGCCATAAATTAAGGAATTGGTCAAGAGACAAAGATTTGAACAAAATGGTTAATTCTTAATTGTATGTACTGTTAACTGATTCAGATATAAACATTTCAGTACCAGGAAATATGTCATAGTTATATTTCACAGTGATCTTTTTGCTGCCTAAATAATGGAGGCATCATTGTACTATGGTGAATGGAGTAATCATATCAGGCATCTGATAAGTCCTATCTCTACTTGGAGTGCAATGCTGTCATATCCTGTATAGTGATTTATGAAATCAGAAGGGTTGCACCTAAGATTACACTAGCATGTTATTTCTTCACCAAGGTCAAGTTTCTATTACATCTGTTTTGAAATATTCCCATTCCTAGGGCTATTAGAATCTGCCTCTTGTGTCAGAAATATATTATGTAACCTTGTCAGACAAGCAGAGATCAGAGAGGGATTACTACTATATTCTGTGGAAGTGAAACATTGGTTTCAAGAGAGAGGGATGAGAGCAGCATAGGGTCTATTAAAATTACATTTTTAAGTGCCAAAGGATGCATTCAACTGAATATGTCAAACAATTAATATTGTCACATGACTGAGTGACTACAGACAGGACTGGATTTACTGAACTCTTATAACTCGTAACTACAAGTAAGGTTTATGCTCTCACGGTTCTACACAATTCACAAATCACTACAGGACACACTAGTCTTCTCAGTCTGTTACAGTACATTGTAGAGGCTTCCAAAAGCAGACATTCCCCTTCCTCTCGGATCCCACACTGTCCCTGGACTCGGCTACCAGCTTCTCAGAGCAACAGCTCACCACAACTGAACTGCAGCAGTCCTCTAACTCACTAACTCACCAAACAACTCTTTGACTGCCTCCAGACTCTCTCTTGACTGACTGTCCCTTCATCCTGCTTATAAAAACTCAGCAGTGACTGCGTAGAAAACACCACTCCTCTGTTGCAGTGCAGTTACTGCCATGAAATTGTTGGCAGAACTGTTGCCTAGCAATGGGTCTACATGCCATATTGCTCCTCCTTAAAACTATTTATCCCAAATAGCCTACAGGCATACCACCCTTTCTTACTAGGTGGTTCAAATATGACCGGGGCTGATTTAAAAACAAAAACATAATTGCCAAACACTTACTTGCACATGTCAGTCTTCAACGTACTCCCTTCCAGAGTCAACACATTTTTCCCAACTTTCTGGAAGCATCTTGATGCCAAAAAAAAAAAAAAAGACTTGTGGTTGGCGACGTATCCACTCCTTAACAGTCTGGATGATGGCGTCGTTTTCCACAAACCACATGCCTTGCAAGTCTGATTTGAGCATTCCGAACAGGTAGAAATCACTTGGGGCCAAATCGGGACTGTACATCGGACGTGTCGGAAGGTTCCATTTCAATTTCCGAAGGGTTTTCATTATTGTTTTGGCCATACGGGGGCGTGCATTGTCTTGAAGGAAGGCTACCCGCTTTCCACCTGTCTTCCGCTTGGATTGGATCTTACTCCAAGTTCCTTGATAGTGATCCGCCTATTCTCACGAATAAGCATGTCTGCACGATCAATGTTCGGCTCGGTGTTGGATGTTCGCGGCCAACGATCATGCAGTTCATTCTCCACGCGCTCTGTGCCCTCTCTGAAGCACTTACACCACTCAAACACACGGGTCCGTGAGAGACACTCTTCTCCATACTGTTTTTGGAGTCTGTGGTGAATTTCAGTGGACTGGACGCTTTCTCCAACGAGGAATTTGATCACAATGCGTTGTTCCACGCTCCGCTGTACCTTCTGTTCTCTCATCACTCTAGCAACTTCCAGACAGGACTGAAGAGGTTCTAACCGTAACAGGAGGGAGGGTGGAGGTTGTGGCTTCACTCTCTCAAGGTCGCACAGCTGCTGCGCAGTGCAGCTTGTTTACAAAAAAATCAGTCCCGGTCATATTTGAACCACCTTGTATTTCCAAGGTCTGTGTTTGTGACATCTGTGATTGGCCTTGCCTTCCCTGTGGCTTGCATCTCATGGTGAATACTCTCCAACCCCTCTTGCACCTCCCACCTTAAGGCCACTCTTCCCGAGCAGTTCTCTGATAAGGGGCAAGCTGGTCCAGGTGTACCACCATCTTCTTTTCTGAGGACTGTGCTTTGGATGTCTCTTCTTTCATTTTGAAGGGGCTGACCCCTCCACAATGTAGTCGAAAACTCGATTACCTGCTTTTCCACCTCCAGCTCTACAGTCTTCCTGAAGATCCTGCCAGATGTCCTCTCCTTCCTCAAATATATCTGCAATCCTATGCCTTGGTTCCTGACTCTATTATGTCATGAAGGAATGGCACAGCAGGTCATCCATCTATGGGCAGTGGCCAGCTTCTTCTGGGACTCACCATCACCCTGGGTCCATTTATTTTGGCTGTCAGTGACACCCTACAGCCAGATGCTGGTCCCCATATAGGTCCTCCAGTGCTTTGGTAGTTTCCACTGTGACCTTCTCTTTAGGGACATCCTGATGGTCCACTACAGCATCCGACTTTTCTCATTTGGCCTCCAATTTTCCTACACAGGCTTCAGTCCCATTTTCTCTACATGGAAGTCAATCCTGGCCATCATCCTTTCATGATGGCTCTCCATCCTTTCTTGAATGGTTTTTATTTCAGCCCCTACTTTGGCTTCCATTCTTTCTTGATTTGAGTCCATTTTTTCTCTGATGACAATTTCGGCCAGCAGGCATGCCAGTATTTGTTCGACCTTTGTAGTGTGGCAATATAACCACACAATGCAGTCTTCAATCCAATAATCAATATATCCAACCCCACCTGTGACACCAGTTTTCATGTGATACAGTGGCTATAGATAGGATTTGGATTGATAATTGGATTTATTGAACACTTACCATTGTAACTACAAGTAACTACAGCACTATTGTTACTTCACACATGCTGCATTTCACTACAGCACATACACTAAGTCTTCTCAGTCTGCTGTGTCTTCATGAGGGAATGTTCCCCTGCTCCCAGGCTCATGTCCTTGCAGGTTGGCAGCCATCTCACACTGAACTCCTACTCTTCTATCAGCCATCTCAAGACTCCCCTGTAATGTCATCTGGTCCTTGATATAGAACCTTGGCATGAACAGCACAGAAAACACCATTCCTCTGTTGCTGTTTCCAACTGCTGCTGTGCAAACAAGCTTGTTTACAAAGCTGCTACTCAGTAATGGCCATTGTATTTTTTCTTATCTCACTGTCATTGCCCTGCAGCAGGTCTGTCTGCTATAATATATATGAAACGAACATAATTCATGATAAAATTTTACATATACAAGTGGACTGAACTTCTACACAGAATGCCAAAGGAAAGATCAAAATTTTTTCAAGTACCACCACACAGAAGAACACATACCATTTAGTCACTAAATTGAAGCCAGAATAGGCTTGTAAACCTATTTTTAGAAAGCAGATGTTATCACTAATATTTCAGAGGAAATCAATCTTCACATGAAAATGGCAGAAAATGTGTTCAGAGGTTTATGTAAGAATATAGCAGACTGTAACCAATTGTGACTGGTTAGAAATACTATCAGCATTCATTATACACATCCTTATAATATGTGATGACTTCAACTATTTGGAAATCTCACACAGTTCAGAGCAATCGGTTATATTGCAGTGTAAACCCCCAAACACTATTTTTTGTATCTCTTTGACCACGAAGTAGGAGACAGCAAGTTCCTCTTGGTAATTTCTCTATTTCAACATGGAACTACTATATCCAGAAGACTACAATGAATATGCAAAACAATGGAAAGTCTAAATTTCTTACTGCTCTCTCTCTCTCTATGTTTCAAGTAATCTGGCTGGCTGCTAGCAGCAGAAATTTATTGCTGGGCACAACCAGTAAAATTTACTGTCTACTTCATTTTAATAAAATGGCAGCTTGCAAGCAACAATCCATAAACTCATATATTGCCACTGCCATGTTTATACATTTAAGTAGCAAAATGTGGTGGGAGGACTCCATACTTCATACAACACCCTAATAACAAAAGCCTACTATTGGACCCTACCCAGAATTGTATCCAATTCGAATACTACACTCTTCAGATCCATTTTAACACATCTCTCAGTCTCCATATTGGTTGCCATGCAATCGATTTCCCTAATAAAATTCTGTATGCAACTTCATGAATCCCCTTGTCCAATGTCTCTGCACCAGTTATTTTAAAGCATGATACTGTGGACTTTGGTAACTTCATACATATTTTGTATACAATTGCACTAAGATGTATCTATGTCTCATAAGTCTATATGGTACTTGTAATGATCTGAAAAAGATTTCTGTAAGACGATGCAGATGATTATTTTTTCTTTGGCCGAAATATAGTTTGCATATGGGAGACTGATAATATTTGAATATGCAGAAATATTATGAGAGTTGACTGTGAATTTGATATTCAACATTGCATTCATTTTGCACTTTTATAACAATTTGTTTAAATTTCTAGTATTTACTCATTGACCCTCTTTGGCCTATCTGTTTGAAACATCTAACCATGAGTGACTTATTTTTGTCTGAATTTTGAAACTGTGATTCAGTTCATCTCACTGAACAAGATATTTTCTTTTTCCATCTGAGGATTTGAAAGGGTTAGTTTATTATCCAAAGACCATAGATTCAGTCTAAGTTACTGCCATAACAAGACACTAAGTACTAAGACTATAATTACAATGACAACAAATAACTCAAAGGTGGAAGCAGAACTCTCAAAATATTGTGCCTATCAAACATACCTCAAACAATAAATTCCTAATGTAGATGTGATGTACCAGTATATCATACATTTAAAGAATAATTATATGGAGCCAGTCTAGCTGTCTGTACAGCAACAGGGTACTGGCTGGATGGCTGGGGTTCAATTCCCAGCAGAGGCAAGAGATTTTCTCTATTCCACAGTGTCCAGACTGGCTCTGGGGCCCATCCAGCCTCATATTCAGTGGGTACCAAACGCTTTTTCCCGGGGAATGAAGGTGACTATTCAACTCCATCTAGTACCAAGGTCAAGAATGGTGGAGGTATACCTCCATTCACCTTCATGACAATGCTTAATTAAGCACAGGGACAACTTTACCTGTTATTAATTATTCCATTTCTATTTGTGCTTAATATGCTTAACTGTAAGCCATTTCACAGTTGCAGTGAACAAACTGCCCAACTTTCTGGCTGATCCATGTGAGAAAGAAAATGAGCCAATGCCACTTCACCAATGCACAATCCATGTCAACTGTGAGAATACAGAAATCATCAACCAATCATACAACTGTGCTCTCAATGGCGATATCTCAGACAGGTGACACAAATAAATCATTGTGCTGCAGTCATTATTTTATAACGATATGCTATCTGAGTTTGATTTGGTTCATCCTGGTCTGTCACAGTAGCAATATTATAAGGGTTAATTAACACTGTTCAGTGTGACTTATAATTTTTTTTCTTTTTAACCTTTTATCCTTGACAAGTTTCGGTCTTATAGACCATCTTCAGAAGGACACTAATACAATGTATAGAATATATACGCATGTTATCATAATACAATGAATACAAAATCTAATATTTTTTAACTGCAACGGCATGTACTAATATGTTAAAATACATAAGAAATATATGATTAAACAAAGATGAATCGGCATTTGATCAACATACACTAAATAAAAGCCACCAGTATGGACCTGTGACAGTAATCATGGAAATAGTTGAACACACTAAAAAAAATGGAGCATCATGTAAATGAAAACTTCCACATATATCACTTTAATAAACTCAATCGATAGAAGAACAAAAACTTAACAAAGTAGAGTGATTACCTGTATAATATTGTAACGTGTTTCGAGATCGAATCTCGTCGGTCACGTGTGTAAGTTCAAATCCCACTTCTGACACCAGTGTAACGTGTTTTGGTTACCGAAGATGCTGTAGAGATCGTTAATTGGTTTATTGAACAATCTACAAGTAACGGCTACAATTACTTATCACACAGTTGCAGGGTTTCACACTTTATAACCCTAATCGCATTAATCTGTTACCAGTGTTGCGGGGTTTCACGATTTATAACCCTATGCGCAAATCAGTTCACTCTGTCTTCAGTAGTATACACGTTGACAGTAGGGGAGCTATGTATCACTGTATCACACACTCCCAATTACACAATCACATACACGTCCAGTTCTTCTTTCCGCGACGGCTGCTATACTCCAACTGTAACCGGCTGACTGTTACGTTACAACTCACTTGTAGCTGCTATGCAGTTCCCTTATATAGCCGCAGTGGTGCCTGTTGCATGCCACGTCACAGGAGTTGTTGACTGCTGCCTAGCAACCGCAATATCCCTTGGTGACGTCACCGCTGTTGACTCGCGTTGCATAGCTACCAGGTTGCGGGGACTCAGCTAACTTCGGCTCCGCTCGTGACGTCACCGCGGGGAGAGTGGCAGGGTGATGACTCGCCTATTATGCGAGCGCTACGTTACCGCCACGTGCCGCTGGGGAGGTTGGGGTCCTTCGTTGCGCAACATGTCACAATATGTTCGACATCACAATAAAACATCAGTACATGCCCACACAAACGTCATAAGGCACAATGAGTATAAATACGCGACTCAGTATACCTTAGAACAGTATAACAACACAGCGTGATCCTAACAAGACAACATGAAAGGTAGGGTAAAATAAAAAAAGCTCACATGAAGTAAAACAGGGACTATGGAAATACTACGTAGGTCATACCGAAAGTCACAAGCAACTATTTTTGCATGCAACCTGGGAACAGCAGACAAAAGAGAGTATGTTGGTAGGTAGAACCAGCTGCTGTGTTAACCTTGAGTGTCTTGTGACATCAATAGCTTACATTATGTGACCAGTATTACTCATAACAAAATGGCCGACAACCATATGTTGTTTCACCAGCATGTTGTCATCGAATTTCTTGTGAAAGAGGAAATCCCTGCTGCAGAAATTCACCAGAGACTTTGGCGTGCTTATGGAAGTGTGTGCATGGGTGCAAGAAGTGTTCGAAGATGGGTGAAACATTTTAAAGATGGGAACACCAGCATCGAAGATGAGCTTCGGAGCTGCACCAGCTCCGTCGTGCATTGCGCGATAAACGTCCAAGACGAAACATCATCATCCTGCATGACAACGCTCGCCTCACATTGGAAGCAACTGCAAAGATGGGGTGGGAAGTTCTTCCACACCCCTCCTATAGCCCTTATCTGGCACCCTTTGACTACCATCTTTTTGGATTTGTGAAGGATCAGTTGTGTGGACGTTTTGAGACAAGGGAGGCAAGTCAGAAAGTAGTGGCTGGAACGAAATTTTACAGAAGGGAATTTTCAAACTCCCAGAAGGCTGAAGAAACGTGTACAAAGAAGTGGCAATTATGTGGAAAAATAAAGAAAGGTCTGTAGATTGAGGTGGTGTATTTGGTTTGTCAATAATAAACATGTTACTTTACAAAAAATTGTTGCTCATGACTTTCAGTACGACCCTTGTACATTATACCATAATAATAGTTGCAGAATCTTATTCTCCAAACAACGGAACCACAAGGTGGTGGATGCTCAACTTCCTTCAAGGAGAGGAAATAAAAAGGACATGAACCAATTTGGATTAAAAAAATTAACATCTTTTTAAACATACTAATTGAAATTTTGTAAATATTTTAACGTATTAGCATGCACACTGCTGTAGTTGTTAAAACATATTAGAGTTTTGTATTCATTGTATTATGATAACGTATGTATAATATTAGTATTCACAAAACACATTGTAATAGTGGTTTCTAATTGTATTGATATCCTTCTGAAGATGGTTTATAAGACGGAAACATGTCAAGGATAAAAGATTAAAAAGGAAAAAACATTTTATAAGTCACACTGGACAGTGTTAATTAACCTTTATAATGCTATCTTATTTTACGGCTTCAACTATGCTGTAGCAGGTTGACTGGGCCCAGTCACTATGAAGTAGTGGTAAAGAGAAAAATGTGAAAGTTCATCTGAAGCAAAACCATAAAAATACATATAAAAGACAGGGCACTTACTTTTAAGGATTCTCAAAAGAATCTGTCTTGTGTATTTTAAAACAAAATTTATGGTGTTACTTTCTTCAGCCATTATTAGTCTCAGTGCTCAAAAATTATGAAAACTGTTTTCAAAAGCAGTTAACATACACGTACATAGAAATGTTAGTAATGGGTGAAAGTTATACAAAAATTTACAAGTTCATAGTATCACATAATGAAGAACTGCATGATTTGTAGATGCTGTCTACTACTACTGCTGGGATAATCAAATCTAGGATGCTACAATGGGCTTATAAAATATTCTCAGGCTATCAGCTGTGTCAGTTTGTGAAAAATTACCTATGTTTCAGGGACATCAGTCCCTGATGATGGGGACAGAGATGGTCCCTGAAGCATTACTAATTTTTAACCAACTGACATGTCTGATAGCCTGAGTAGATTTCATCAACTTTAGCCACCATGAATGCTTTAGATCCTACACAGAACTGGTTGTGTGATAGTGGTGAAAACCTTTTAGTGAATATCCAGTTGGAACATGAAGAAGGAACCAGACAAACAACATAAAGATGAATTTTAAGGAAATGGATGAAACTACTGAGGACTGTGTCCAGTGCAGACTTTGGATCAGTGATGCTTAACTTTTGAGTTCTGCCACCAGTATCAGGTAGTTGTATTTAAAAAATGATTGATAAAAATGCTCTCTTCTGCTTCACTGGTGATTCAGTTTCCCGTGGACATGAAGAAGGTATTCATATTTCTGTCATGGCTAATCTCCAGCCAGAACAAAACACTGAGAAAACTAGAAAATATAAATAATTTATTTATAATAATAAAAGCAGAACATAATGCCTTTCAGATGCCTAAAGAACTTTTTCAGTTAAGATTTGATCTCAACCAAAAACACAGCTTATGTAGAGCTCCAGAACAGAACTACATGTATAGTAATGGTATTCCCAAATTAGCCAAAATGGCAGCTATTTCAATTGCACATACAAAACCTCCATAATCATCAAATACAGTCCATGAAACTTGAAATCTGTTCCAGTATGATGTATGATTCTACACAAACAGCTCTCAGTCATTACAATTTTAATACCATAGTGTTATTAGTGGACTTGTATGCTTTGGAAATTCACTTTAAAATGGGTCCTGGGTTATGGATCATGACACATGTAACTTCCTCTAAATAATTCTGTAGGCCAATGATTGAAATGGTGATTCCCTCGAGTGTGGACCCTACACTAGCACCGCCTGGCTGTCATGTTTGTCTTCTCTTCACTCAGTATACACCGTATCACTTAAGGAATGGTGCAACTTGGGATGATAAAACAAAGGAGAATTATGCTAAGCAGGTGTGTGAATGTAAGTCATGAGGACCATAAGTTAAATCATTAGAGTAATAGTTTTCAAGTGTGGCTACCCTGGCTTGAAAAGTATGCAGCCAGATTGAACCTCTGGTCATACCTAATGCTGCAGAATATTGTGAAATAACACATTACCTGCCACACTTAATACACTACAACATAATAAACAAACATTTAAGTTATGGAGAGTTCTATCTTCTGGGACATGTCATTTACTCCGCTGGAAGTCAACCAATATTTTGGAGGAACATGTCACTTCGATCTTCAGGGGATATATTCCTCAAAACTATCGCCTATTTTCAAGAACATAGAACTCTCTGTAACCACCAGTGCGAGAACCTCAAATCCTTATTTCACTTAAATTAAGCCTGATGGTGGAAGTATATGATTTTCTTTTGTCTTGGACCCTCTTTCAGTAGTCGGAATTCAGAAATTGTCATTCGAACCACATGGCTGGTCTTTAATCAGTACAAGCACATGCCAGCTATAAATCACAGAACAGTTTCCAGGTTATACAATATAATTTCTAAGGTACTCTGTGGAGGTCAATCACAGTAGCCGAGCGGTCTAAGGCATGCACTGTCTTTGTTCGCTTGGAAGCCAGGATCGTGGGTTTAAATCCCATTAAGGGCATGTATGTTTAGTGTTTGTGTACAGGTAGAGACCTTGCAATGAGCTGATCACTCACCCAAGGAGCCCTACCAAATGTCTAAGACCTACTAAACTGAAGTGAAATGGAGAGTTTCATGGATGTAGGCCAACACCCAAATTGAGGCTGTAGTGCCAAAGGAAAAGAGAACTTTTTGAGAAGCTAACAGCTGCTTATTTAGTCAGAAAACTTCCACCTTCTGATGGAACCGAAAGGTTCTTATTGTGTTCAAAAGTGCCCACCATTAAGCTGGAAGTAACATACATATGTCAGTGAGGTCTGCAAAGTGTATGTGACTGATGCTTGTCACTGGCTTGACTTGTCATTGTTCTTTTTTTGCATACTACCTTTTGTTATTCATGATTAATACAAGCATTTTCCATTCTCCATGGCAGGTATTCTCCAATATTGAGGAATATGCACCAGGATTCACTGACAGTATTATTGGAATGGAAGTGCTTACTCCACCAGACCTTGATGAAATTTTTGGACTCACTGGAGGTGTAAGTTTGGCTTAACTTTTGACTTAACATCACTTCAACTTAATAGAACACATATCCAGTTCCACCACAATCCATACATAACACACTACTGTCATTCAACAGAGACTAATATCTTTAGCTTTTGACTCCTGTATTGCTACTAAATTAAATGGATTGGAAGTCTGTACATCTGAGAGACATTTTTAGCTTCTAAAAGTAAGCAGTTCTTGCTATTTATTCATATACTTGAAACTGTATCTTCATATATTTAGTTTGCACATTTAAAATAAAATGCAAGTTTGGCCATCCTCTGGAGAATGAAGTGGTCATGGCCTAATATAAGTCACCTGGAGAAGGGACTGAAGAAAACCTCAAAAGACATAAATCAGGATATTTGGCTTCCAGGCTAAGATTCAAACCAGACACTTCCTGAATACAAGTTAGATCTGTTTTATGTTAACATGGATGTTTGTTTTACCAGGATATCTTTCATGGAGCTTTATCAATGGACCAACTATTTCTAAGTCGCCCAGTCTCAGGGGACATTGGGCCACCAGCCCCCTTCACTCCTATAAATAAACTGCTGCTATGTGGCAGTGGAGCCCATCCTGGTGGAGGAGTAACGGGTGCCCCAGGTTACATAGCAGCACAGGCTGGCATTGCACTTCTGCTGGCTATGAAGAGCAAGATCTGGCATTGACACTGTGTTCTGATGGCGTTAAACAACACAAGAGTAATTCACTCCAGCTGCTCCTGTGGATAATGAAACCAAACTATGCACCATTATTTAACCCCTCCCCCTCCAAACTTGAGTGTCAGTGCCTGAGAACATTCAGAATGCTGCACAAACCTACAAACCTAATAACAAAAGATTCTGATATGTTCAACATATTCTCTTAATAAATATATCATCCTAAATTATCCTACAAACATGCTCCACACATTTACTCCAGCCATTTGCAAAATGTTTACACAAGGTTGTCCAATGGCCTGTTTTGAATGGGATGCTTTTTCTGAGAGTTTTAGTCTTCTTCTTCTGTGGGTGCTACAGTCCATGATGAACCTTGGTCTCTTTTACGATTCCTCGCCACTGGTTCCAATCCTGTGACTTTTGTCTCCAACTGCCAATATTCAATCTTCAACGGAATCCAGCCACCTGACAGGTCTGCCCTCTTGTTGAGTATCCTTTGGTTTATATAGTTAACTTCTTGCAAGAGTTCTCCTGCATTCTAAAAAGGTGAGTTTTATTAATCCAGCAAATTAAAGATGGGACAATTACCAACTTCAATCTTAACCTTAATTTTCCATTTTCTTCTAAAAGAGATGTTTCAAATGTTTTGTGAAATACTCATATACAACTGAAGAATCAATAAGTATTGTTTCTTGACAGTTATTAATGAACACTTTTTTAAGTCAGTCTGATGTTACTATTACACACTTTCTTTTTGTCCCACATTAGCCACTGGACTTCCTACAGGTCTTTTAGACATGTCTCTAGTTAAACAAACAGGGCCAATAACCAGATAATCACGCAAAACAAAAGTACATGTCATGTTCCAGTCAGTTGAAGTGGCCAGTCTGCAAACTACTCAGTCATTAACACTATTCTGCCAGGTAAAAAAGAGCTGGACTTTTAGCGCACCTGGACTTCTGGATGTCTGACGAAAGATTTATACTTTGACCCCAGAAAGACTACAGTGAAACTGCTAGTGATTCATAACGTCATAAATGGGGATCAAAAAATAAAAAAAGCCATGTTGAAAGTAAAAGTATTGCAACTCAGGATGATTAAGATGATGATGATAATATACATAACATACTTTTGATATGCAGTCTATATTCATAACATATTTGCAAACTTCCACACTTATTCTGAATGGGAAAATTATTTTCATGAAATACCTAGCTCTCATGGAACCTAAAGGTTCAATGCTGCATTCACAAGAGCCCACTATTTGACAGTATCACAAGCCAGTTGAATCCAGTCCACACTATCTCTATAAAATTCATTTTAATATTTTCCTTCCAACTTTCCAGTAGTCTTTCTCTTCAGTTTTCCAACCAAAACGGTTTATTAATTTTTTACCTCCCCACTGCATGAAACATGCCCTACCCACCTCACAATAATTGTAGTACAACACACATTCAGAATGCAACAAAGATAACCTCCACATATTCGAGGGTGGCTGTGTATATGCTGAATAAGCAACTGTAGACAGCCAGCAAGGGATGTTCATTCAGCTTTGAGATGTCACAAATGGAGAGATTCTTCTGCACAACCTAAGTAGCGGAAGTATACACGTCAGAACTTCCTACATGGCAAATTCTCTACCACCAATAGCATGAAGCAAATAATGCACTTGTAATGGTGTAGCCGAGGCTTATTTACTGTCTTATTGGAAACTAATTTGCTATGTTCACTGTTACCACCTCATTTCAGTCCTGAGGAATATGCCTTTCGGCCCCTCTCATGAGCAAATCAAAGTAAAGTAATTTCCAGTAAGACCCTAGTTGGTGTGAGATATAAAAGTAAAAGTAAAGCTATCCCTGTAACAGGCCGTGAAGGCCCATAGGGTTGTGAGACGTTGAGGGTCCCACATTATCTAGACAGTTGGCTCACAGATGGCGGTAAGGTTGTCAGCCTTACGCACTTTACTCCCCAGGAAAATCACTTAATTAATTCCTGCTACTCATTTCTGTTAGAGGCTGAGTCAACCCCAGGGCCATAGTGCAGCTGGAAGGATTAGGTCAATTGAAAAAAAATCAATGACCTCATTAGGACTTGAATCCGTGACCTTCCGGCTTGTAGCATAGTGCCTCAACCAACTACACTACCACATGCCCCATTGGTATGATATATTTATGTAAACTCAAACTCTCAATTCTCCTTTTGGATACCACAGAATAAGAATGGTTCCTTTTCTGAGTCTATGAAACTCCCCCTTCTAACCTGGACTTAAAATTGGTCTAGTGAAAGAATAATGCAGCCTCTCCTACTTATAATACTCCTCTGTGTCCTTGCTTCATCACCTCTGTCAAGTTCATCTTAATGTTTACAGATTTACTATCTAACTTCTTCCCTTGTCTTGTTTGTTGGTTACCTCCTCACCTAGATAGCGTCATTACCCTTTTCCAGCTTTGTGTACATGTTCAACAATTCTCTATCTTAAATTATACTTTCAGTACTCCTTTGAATTAATAAACAGCACACATTATGTCAGAATAGCACCCAATCAACTCAGTCCTATAACACAAAACCCAGGAAATCCATCTGCTTCATTTGCAAATCTCCATCTTCTAGCAGGTATCAACTGGATTGGATTAGGGCACTATAAACTGGCTGCCTTACATGTATAATCTAGAGTATGAAGTCATAATCTTATGTCTTTTGCATTTATTTGTTCCTGAAGTTTCTTTTCTCATTAGGCAATTAGCAGCAATATCTTGATAAATTCAGTATAACAAAGTTCTGCCTTATACCACGCTCCTGCATGGAAAGGCAGATACACTGTCATTCTGCAATATAAAACAATTATATCAGGAAGTAATTTAAATTATTAACACAACATGTGTTATGAAATAACTGAGAGTTTGAACACAACAAGACTGCTTTTTAGTTTAGTTTATATGATCTATAAAAAGCATGTACATCCACAGCTATCAAACACTTGCTTTTTGTAGCTGTCTAGTAGATGAAACAGCATCCCATAATGCACAACATACTGTAATACATACATCCATTGCTAGGGAACAGCTACGTAAACACTATCCCATGAAAAAAAATTCTTGGCCAACAATAGGCAAAGGGCTTTCCATTGCTAGGCAATGAGCAGTAAACAAGTTTCATCAACAACAGAGGCCATGTTTTCTATGTGGTCTGTGCAGTGGCTATATAACGAGGTTTACAGAATATTATATGTAGGGTACCCCAGCCCTAAATACAGACCTCGCCTCCCGTGTGGAGGCAGGGTCGAATACCTCAGCCATGACCCTGCAAGTCGTAGGAGGCGACGAAAAGGGAAGTCTCAAATCTGGGAGAGTAAAATATGGTCGCGAGTCTCAAGGGACTCTGACCCGAGAAAGACTGCGCAGGCAAGGGCCACCAGCATATATAAAAGAGAGACCCGTCCTCTTGTCAGAGAGGGCGCCCCACAAAAGCAAGACTGTAAATGTCAAACAGTAATAAATATCTGGTCATGAGTCCCAGATGGGGCTTGACACCAAGACTTACTGACTGTCAGTCGCACTTCGACTTCGACTTGTATGTAGGGCCCCCTTGTGGAGGCGGGGTCAAATACCTCCACCGTGACCTTGTGAGTTGTAGGAGGCGACGAAAAGGGAAGTCTCAAATCTGAGACAGTAAAATACTGTCGCAAGTCCCAACAGACTCAGACCCAAGACTGACTGCACTGGCAAGGGCCAGCAGCATATAGAAAAGGCAGACCCGTCCTCTTGTCAGAGAGGGCGCCACACAAAAACAAGACCGTAAATGCCAAACAGTAATAAATATCTGGTCATGAGCCCTAGATGGGATTCAACACCAAGATTTACTGACTGACGACTTTGACTTGCTGAGGAGTACATAATCATGAGAATGAACATGTTTGCGGTATAGGACAAGGTGAAGCCAGACACAGAAAATATAAGAGGCTTAAACTTGGCAGTGATGAAGCAGTGGAATTGTGACTTCTGCATGGTTCAAGAGAAGATTATAAGAGTAGTGAAAATAATGGACTGACAGACAGAATCCAACAGCAGAGTACCAAAAGCTAGAAACAAAGATTAGAACTGAAGTGTTGAAGACTTCATGTGTTATTGTTCCAGTAATAGTTTGGAGTGTTATAATTCTTTGTAGTTATGACTGGCAGTTATCCAATAAATCGATTACCAATCCAGATCCATGTCTTAGGCACTAATACATGTGACAATACAATTTCAAACTGCTGTCAGTTGTCAGCATCAGTAACTTTCACTGCATGAACTTAATACAGCTACACTGTACCAAATCCATATCCAATATGTCTGTGCCAAGAAAAGGAAGTGATGACAACCCAGCTAAAATATGAAGAAAAGCCATAATGTGAGAGAAAAAAGTGGAAGTTGTCCATCAAATCATAGACAGTGAGTGCCAGGTCAAAACTGATCGGTAGCTGTCTCTCTGGTTTTACAGTTAAAACTCTGAATGGCCCTTACACATTCTGGACGATATCCTACTCATTTAACTCCTAAAAGTTAATATGTTCAAGAAATTTAATCAGGGGAAAACAGAGAGAATTTTAAAAATATGGGGTGAAGATCAGAACCACTGAAACTTGCCTCCAGTATTGCTTTAACAGTGACAGAAGTAAAAAAATATTCATTTATACAAATGATAAGTAAGGGAGGTTATGAAGTTCTTTACAGCGTGAAATAGCAAGGTATGATGGATATTAACGGACTGATGTTAAAGATGATTCGATACATGAGCAGAACTGAAAATGCATCTTCATATACTGTATTACTGTACTGAGTTGTGACATGACCTAATCATCATCTTACAGCAATCTGATGGCTTTTGAGAGCTGTGACATTGCAAGAGTTTATAGCAAAACCCTCACTAATGTTCCTCCATTAAGGTTTTCCTTCACTGAGCGTCCACTTTCAAGGATCACTGATCTTACAAATTATAAATCACTCCGTCCAATGTGACCGTAAGTTTTTACCACATAAAAACTTAACAGGGTGTTAAGTTTTTATGTAGTAAAAAACTTACGGTCACATTGGACGGAGTGATTTATAATTTGTAATTGTTATTGTGACGGACCAGAATGAAACAAATCAAACTCATCACTGATCTTGGTGTAAACTTTTCTCCATTCAAGATTTCCTCCAATTTTGTGCCAAAATTGACTGCTCTCCAAAGAAACACTAAATGAGGATTTCAGTGTATATCAATAAGACATCAGTGCTAACAATAAATTCATGAACTATCCACTGTGCACCACTTTCATTATATTCTCTGCCAGCACTGACATGTCACTTACAAATAGTTCTGATAGTCAGTGAAGCAACTACTGTAATTAGCCAGAAGGGAAGAATGTAAACTTCTATATCACTCCAGCATCTACAACTGGTATGGTGAATCACATGTGGTGTCAGACAGACAGAATTCTTATAAAATGCAATACATACATGAACACAAGCTGGAATGTATCTTAAAGTTACTTCCAGCCACAAAGGATAAATTAGAATCATTCACAATCTAACAAAATCACTATAAGTCACTCAAATCATACTGAATCACTCCAAGAATCCTATAATTACGAGACACATTCATTCTTCCATTTCAACACACATAATGATTTAAAATCCACCACTCAGAATGGTACAAGGGAGGAAAATCAATGGAGAACGGAGGATGGCTGTGTATGAATGAAGATAATGGAGGACCAGTGAACAAAGGTTCCTATGAATACACAAGAATTTAGTGATAATATTATAAGGTTGTCAAACAAGATACATTCCATGAACAACTTAATATATTGTAACGTGTCGGCAAACCAGAGGAAGAGACTTCTATGGAAACGCTACAATAGACCGTTACAGAGGAGACAACAATTGCTCCATGGTAATTCTAACAGGAGTCTCCATGGTTATAACGGAGGGTTCGTTGCCTAACAGCGGGCAAGGTTATAGATAGCCCAGCTTCAGCGAGAAACAGTGAGTCTCGGAATAGTCTTCGAAGAAGAGAGTCGCGGAACAGCCTTCGGAGGAGAAACTTCGGAACTGAGTCCAGTATCACCGGAATATTGTAATCGGTTATTGTAAGCCTGCAAGTGCAGATGCCTGTAATGTGTGTAAAGCGTGAGCGAACGAAATAAAGTCGCTACATCAAAGGACAGCGTGAACTTATTTGTGGCGTGACACACAAACACGTTACAATATATTAAAAAGTTTTGCCTAACAGCACTGCATACAGGCCAAAGATTCCTCTTCCTGCCTTACTGAAGTACAATTTTCAATCTTACCAATTACCCACTGATGGTAGCAATATTTGAAGTGTTATGATGACACAGGATGACCCCAAGGATCTCGTTTCTGGTCTAAGAGAGCTAATGACGACTCAGAGATTCTTCCCAGTAATTCACACAGGTTGACTTTTGTGAAGACCTATATAAACCAGTAATATAATGCAATAAACATTTCATATTCACAAGGAAGAGATTCCGTAATGCTATGAAGCCTCAGTGGCTTAGTTTCTTGTATTATTTAATCACACCTTTCAGTAACAGGATTACAAATGAACTGGGAAAGATTTGTAATGAAGGAATCATGGCCTGTTTCATGCTATTTTTCCAGCATTTGCCTGAAAGGATGGAGAGAAAAAAAAACAACCAACAACCTCTGCTGTACTCTCCAATCTCTGGGCTGAGATTCAAACTTAAGCCCACACAATTACAAAGTATAAATAATATATATATATAAATATCTATACATCAGGGGTTCTGATAGACTGTGTTAAATTAACATACTTCATGCTAATATTGTCAGATACAGGGAACTCGGTGGTAAAAATTATTTTTGCTACTCCATGCACTTACAAAAGCAGAAATGTAACCTTCTACATTTGCTGAGGGCATGTTCAAAAAACCACCTTGCATTGGTTATTGTGAGGATATCTGCTGTTTGAAAAATGTGCAGCACATACTCATTAAGGCCTTCAAGAATATTCAAATTTTGTCTTCAACTCAAAATAGTAAGTTACATGTATCCCTCAAAATCAAGGTACCATCCACTTTGTAAAATGGAATGTTGCAATAACTTCAAATTTAGTTTCAACACAGCCTGTTACAGGGATATTTTTTTTTGCAGTTATCCATAACTCTTTTACCAAAGGAGGTTTTGAAAGACAAATCTGACAAGAAAAAAGCACTCATAGCATTATGAACACTGGATACTGTAACGTGATGTACTGACGTGGATGATAGTACAGTGGAACCTCGCTAACGAGCACCTCTCATAACAAGTCACATAATGAGCAAAACAAATTGTAAAATAAATGACTCGCTTAACAAGCGACGTTTCGCATAACGAGTAACAAGAGGGGAAGTCCCGGATTGTGTGCTTGCTACATCAGTCTGTGTTTAGCACGCGTTCCACTAGCATCTTAGTGTCACTTGTGATCACACATTTTTCCACACCTGTGTTCAGACATATTATTTGTGATCTTTTTTTGTGCGAAGTTTAATAACCTTTGCAAAAATGTCCCCGAAGAAATAGCTGCAAAAAAGACAGCCATAAGAGAATAAAAATAACCATAGAAATGAAAAGTAAAATCATTGGAAAGCGAGAACGAGGTGTGAGCGTGGCTAATCTAGCACGCACATACAATCGGTCTACATCAACGATTTGCACAATTTGGAGTTGCATTATGTTTCACAGCAAGAAGTTGTGATGGAGAGTTTGTCAGAGGAGGTAACAGCAAAGCAACAGTCTTCTGGCGCAATAAGAGAAATGCTGAAAGCATGGGAAACTGCTGCATTGTACATTGAGAAGCATCACCCTAATAAGGCAGTGGCTATGCGCACTACAAATTTATTTAATGATAATGCTGTGTCACATTTTCACCAAATTTTGAAGTGTCGGCAAAAACAAATGTCTCTAGACAGCTTTCCAGTAAAAAAGAATTAGATATGGATCATAAATAATAAACTAATTGTTTCAATTTTTTTTTTTTTTTTTGTTTTCTGCAAATCGAATTCGCATTCCAGGTTGGTTTGTTCTGCATAGAAGAAAAGATTAAGATGATTCGAGCTCCTTAACAATGTATATATATATATAATTTTTTTGAATAAACGTTATACATAAAATTTTTTGAGTATTTTTTTCAGCATGGAACGCATTATCGTATTTTACATTAATTTATATGGGAAAAATTGTTTTGCTTAACGAGTGTTTCACATTACGAGTAAGATTCTGGAACGAATTATGCTCGTTAAGCGAGGTTCCACTGTATTGTAAAAGCTATGGACATAAGCAAACATTTATTTCCAAAACGCACAACGAATCCCTTAAACATAGTATAAATGATTTGTTTAATCCGTCTTGCAGTGCGTACACTTATCTATCTTCTTCTCTCACTCTCACTACATGTGAGTGTACTACACACACACACATACCCAGCAGACCCAACAGCATAACGCACGCAGTCGCGAGAACAAGACGCAACAGAAACACAATACACACGATAGGGAAGAAGAGCTCCAACAGAGTAGGATGAGCATGACTGGCGTAATAAGATACGACGTAGCGATCGGGAATCCTGAACAGTTTTAATATTTTTACGATTGACATTTGTCAATATATATGATGGACATATATTTTAGTTATTTTAAAGTGAAGACAAGGCATACAATGTACTAGTTTGACGTGAATTGAGTAGCACCTGAAGATGGCATTTTTATGCCGAAACATGTAGTGAGAGTGAGAGAAGAAGATAGATAAGTGTACGCACTGCAAGACGGATTAAACAAATCATGAACTTAAATCAGTGCAACAGGACGCTAAAATATAACATAGTATAAATGAGTCGCATCTTCTGTTAAACAATGATGTAACACAACCCGAGCTGTGATGTCAAGATGTGAAGTTGTCCATTTATGTTCAAGCTGAACCTGTGATTCTGACTGATAGCAATTTCAGCATTTGTAATACAAAAATATTCTTCTCCAAATTTTGGAACTAGTGTTTAGTGTTTATTACTAGTTCAGGGTAATAATGCCATTCAACTACTATGCTCTGTATATATAGTAAAACTCCTACTTACAGTTTCTTTGGGGACCAGGGATTTAAATTCTAAAAGAAAGGACAATTTTACTGGAGGAAACTTAATACTGAGATTACTGACCTGAAATCACTGAAATTTAATGCTAAATGTCAGAAAACCTCAAAATAAGGAACATTAAATGGAGGTCCCACTGTAAATCTATCATGAAAATTGCACAATACCAACCTATCTAATCATAAGTTTGTACTTTTTGGACCCAAACACTTCAAATTAATGAGGCTCTACTATAAATAGAAAGCACACCTTGTACAGTTTATGTTGCTCACAGGCAATGAGATTGCCTAGCTCGACACATTCTGTGTACTCTCCCATCTCATGCATTACAGTATGAAGCAGCAGTACCACCTGTCAAACAAAAAAGTTACTGTCAGAAATATCTGATCATCTGGGTAGGTGAAGAGACCATACATACAGCAAGGAGTAGAAAGAGTGGACACATTTATGGGAAGGAATGGAAGAATGGATAAGGCTTCATAATAGGACAATCCAGCTTTCTGGAAAAGTAAACTGATGAAGAATATACAGTATATCAGGTCATGGGGGCTTTGAAGAATAGGTTAACTTTTGACTCTTAACCAACCTTTGGAATGCATAATTGGCGCAAGTCATCCATTTGCTTACGATGCCGACTCACTTCACCATTCATATCACCATCTTCTGTCTCTGAAATTCCAGAGTCAACAAGCCAACCACCTTCAGGGAAAGTCAGAATATTGTAAAGCTGAGATTTGACTGTCTGGAAAATAAAACAAGTTTCACTTCTGTTGGTTAATATTTCTTCCATATGTAAAAGCATCATTTAAGATGCACCTTACACAAGCAGTCAGGTTGGTCCTGTCCTTAAATATCAATGTTCTGACACAGTTTGCAGAATGATGAACTGTAAAATTCTATGACTGCCATGTTGTCCCAGTAATTTCTCTCATCATTCCAGACTTCATATACCTAACATATAAAACTTGTACAACCAAGAAAACGACTGCATATCATCATAAAACTCCAAGGTTCACTTATAACCAAAATACTGCTAAGAAGACTTCCATCTCTCTACCATCATACAAAATGTTACGGCCTTCTGTTGGGTAGAGTTAGGACTTGGTATTTTTCACACAAGGAATTTAAGAAGTGTGTACAAGAATGAGAGAGAGGGTATGATTTTTCTAACCGGTTTAATGAAAAACAGCCCATATGGAATAAGAACCACAAGGGTCAGCGTTTACAAGTCTTTTCACCATTCATGACATGCTTCAAGCTGTAATTTTATTTATAAAGTACAAAGAGTGGAGAGCAACATCTTCTTTATGGCACACTGACAGTTTTAATGTTGGGGTTGCAGCTCAATGTGTTTGACAGAATATATGCAAGTTAACACAACATATTCCACATTTACACTACAATGTGCTGGTATCACCAAGAATGGGCACTTCCCAACCACACACAACTTCAGACCTCTTGTGCAAAACCTGAACGTGAGAACTGAGAAATATGAAGTAGGAGTGCTAACCACTACACCGAAACATCTGGCACATCTTGAATAAGTGGCCAATTCCTGCATTTAAATATAACTTGACAGCAGCTGTTATTCATGACTGTCAATATATTATACAATAAACTAAAAACTTAAAATAACTTAGCCTGCATTTAGTGGCATTTAAATGAAATCAGCTGTTATAATTACACCACAATGACTTGGATTTTCTTGCACTAGTTAATTGTATTTAATCAATTGCAGATGTAGTTGTTTTATCACCAAGACTTGAGTCACCAAAGTCTCATTCAAGTGTCTCAAAATGGCATGCCATGAACTATATGGGAATTTCAGGACATGAAATGGAGTAAAAATATCCAGCCAAAACAGGTCTGAAAATTCTTCTTCAAAAAGTTATAAGATAATATGTGTGTACATCTGTCTCTAAAACAGATACATTTTGATAAAATTTGGTACTTGGGGTTCACACTTTAACTAGCTAGTACATTTTATTTTGGTTCATACGGTACAAGTTTCATGACATTAAAATCAAAGTTTACCAATTTTTCCTTGCATTTTCATAAACATTAACCATTTCAAAAACTGTTTCAAACAAAGGTGAGCCATTTTTGAGACAATTGATAAAGTTTAATTTGAATGTCATTCAGAACAAAGGTCATTGTGGGCAAAACATACCACACCCTTATTCCCGCCTTCATGTGACACAGAAAGACCCAGCTTGGTTTATGTGAGACTCAGATGGCTACATGTGCAGTCACAAGCTCAAGTGGTCAGGGCACAGCCAAAAATATTGTAACACAACATGACTTTAGACTATCAGGCACAACATACAACTGACAACATGCCTGGCCAACACGACTGCTGGCTAGTGCTGCTTTTTAAGGTGGTCAGCAACGAGCACTGATAAAAGGGGTAATCAAATTCTGATAGGGCTGTAGATGCAAAAATATTCTGTGGACCTAAACTGAGGTAATATGAAAACATGGAAAAAGGAGCCTGTTATACATAGCACATCCACAAAGTAAGTTTCCCACTTGTCCCACAGCTAGCAAACCCTATATTGCATGAAGTGACTGCACATACGTGATAGAGCAATGACGTAGCATTGCGCATGCATTAACGGAATTTCGAGCATTCCCATAGTAGCATCATTGCAGCTGTTGAAGATGGAGGCTCTTATTCCAGCTCCCGCCGACTGTGACATGTGGTCAGTGGTAAAGTTTTTGAATGCACAGAGCATAGCGCCGATCGAAATTCATCATCAACTGTGCCGGGTCTATGGGCCTAACGTCATGAGCAAGCAGATGGTGCGTCGCTGGTGTAGACAATTTTCAGCAGGTCGACAAAGTGTGCATGATGAGAAGCGCAGTGAGCGGCCATCCATCATTACAGACGACCTGGTGGAGCTTGTGCAGGAACGCATTATGGAGAATTGTTGCATCACAATTGCGGAACTCAGAGTCATGTCCCGCATTTTTTCCTGCTCCTTGTTGCACAAAATTGTCACAGAGCACCTGTTGTTCAGGAAATTGTGCACCAGGTGGGTGCCGAAGCAACTGACACCAGAACACAAAACAAAGCGCATGGAGTCAGCATTGACATTTCTGCAGCGGTACCATGATGACGGCGACGAGTTTCTGGAACAGATCATCACAGGTGATGAAACGTGGATTGCATACATTACCCCAGAAACCAAGCAGCAGTCAATGCATTGGCGTCAAAGTGGATCTCCCTGTAAGACGAAATTGAAGCAGACGTCGGCGCGGAAAGTGATGTACACAGTATTCTGGGACAGACGGGGCGATCTCCACATCGACTTCCTGACCAGAGGTGAGACAGTGAATGCTGAGCGGTACTGTAAAACAATGCAGAAATTGCGACGGACCATTCAGAACAAGCGGCGCAGGATGCTTAGTGCCAGTATTGTCTTCCTGCATGATAATGCTAGGCCGCACACAGCTCAACGGACAGCAAGTCTCCAGCAGGAGTTCAGCTGGGAGGTGTTTAATCATCCACCCTACAGCCCGGACCTCGCTTCCAGTGATTTCCATCTTTTCATACCCCTCAAGAAATTCTTGTCCAGTGAGCGTCAGCGTTTTGAGAATGACAGAGGTGGAGATGGTTGTCACACAGTGGTTCCAATCCCAGGCGGCGGACTTCTACAACACAGGTATTCAAAAGCTGGTCCCACGGTATGACAAATGTCTCAGTTCCAGTGGCGATTATGTTGAAAAATATCTGAACACTTGCTGTATCTCTTGCAATAAATATTTCCATGAAATTGTGTTTTATTTCTGCAAACGGCCCCAGGGAAACTTACTTTGTGGACAAGCCTCATATCTGTACAGGAGGCTTGTACCTAAGAATTTTAACCTGATAAATAATTAAATGTTTTTATTTTAAAAATTTGCAACTTGGAATGTCCAAAACTGAAAGGCTTATTAGTGACATGGTTTAGAAGGTAACATACTAAATGACCATTTAAAATAAGGAACATAAAAAATTATTCCCATTTTATATGAAATTAAGTTTGTACCATACCAGGATATGGGTAAAGCGGCAGCATAGTGGGCTGAGGCACTATGCTACAAGCCAGAAAGTCACGGGTTCAAGTCCCGATGAGGTGGACCTTTTTCAATTGACCTAATCCTTCCAGCTACAATACGACCCTGGGGTTGACTCAGCCTCTAACAGAAATGAGTACCAGGAATCTTACTGTGGAGTAAAGTGTGGCCGGCACATAAGGCTAACAACCTTACCGCCGTCTGTGAGCCGACTGTCTAGAAAATGTGGGTGCCTCAACATCTCACAACCCTATGGGCCTCCATGGTCTGTTACAGGGATAGCATTACCTTTTTTTTATAACCATACCAGAATATACAGCAGTACAGATTTAACACAAGATTAATTCATTTCAGCTCTGAATATATAATAAGACATCCACCTTGGTTTGCTGTTGCATGGCCATCTTCCATCGTTCCAGCTCTGTTTTGTACTGATTGTGACGGTGATCATAAGCAACCCTTTCAGTGAAAGGTATTTCTCCAGTTGGCAGCTTAGGTGCACTTGGCTTGGCATGGTGGTAGTGTTGGAACCAATCTGAGAAACCTTCTTGGGCATCCTATAACAGTAATTTCACAAAATAAGACTTGCTACTAAATCTCCATTTAACACTTCTCTGGAGGGGCAGCAAATCTGAGCACTGAGGAAAACCTCAAAGAGTAGGATGATGAAAAAGCTGGAACCATACAATCCGAAAACAAAATGAGGAAAAACAATATACAGAAGAACATTAAATAACAATTTCAATGTTATTAAGAGGTCGGGCTATATACTGTAAGAATTACGGCTTTCTGTTTTTTAGTTAAATACACTGAGCCCTTGGCTCCTATAAACTAGTTTCGCTAATAAGCTATCATTTGTTACAAGAACTTCAGACACAACTTACAGTTCAATAAATCTGACAGCACCAGATAAACATTTAGGAACTGATCCGTGAAACTTAAGCCATATTAAAGAAAGTAAATTGCACACATGCGTGCAGGCACACGCACATACATACACAATATAAAGGAAAAAAAAAACCTTTTGCATTAAGGTTTCCTACAACATGAATGTAGTGAATGTTAAACACCATATCTGAATTCACCAACATAAATTCTTCTGAATGATACTTTACCAAGTATGCCTTGTAGCACAAGTACTCCCTAATTGAGGAAGAAATTCGAGTAGGTAGATTACGAGTCACGGTCAAGCCTTCTGGATTCAAACTCTCATCAGCCACAACCCGGTACTGTTTCATAATCAGATCAATAGAATCAACAGGTATCTGGAAGGCAAAAACACATAAAAGGATGCTGAAATTTTCCATTGCTGAGATTTAGGACAGTTTAGGAGTTACCAAACCAGAACATTCTAGGAAGCAGAAAAGCAGTTTCTCAAAATTCTAAGGGCAAAGGCACACCAAGGAAACTGACCACCACAATGCAACACTTTCCTTGGTGTGTCCTTGCTCTAAGAGTCTGAACTTTGTCACACTATTAGTAAGACGGCTTGTGTTTATTTAATGATTCTGTCAGAATATAGTGTTGGATGACAGAATGATATATGAATACTAACCTGGAACAGATTCAGAAGGAAGTGGCCATGGTTTCATTAGAGGCACTGTCCTGGTATTTGCCTTGAGAGACTGAGACCCCCCCCTACCAAGACTGAAACTTGGCACTCCCCAGTCAAGATTCAAACAAGGCACTTCCCACACACAAGCTCGATATGATGCAGTACCTGAGACTGAAATATGTCCCTTATTCTACGGACCCCTTTTCTTATTACACACAACCATTGCTATGTCAGGGATCAGCCAACTGATGAATGGTGAGAAACAGATTCCAACGTGTTGCCGCACATGCACACACACAAGAGAAAAACGGAAATACAAACAAATCATTCTAAATAGCCCACTGTCTGAGATAATAAAGTGTTATGCATTGGCCACATCATTACCTTGTTGAATGTCTTACGAGCAGCCTCCAGTTTGCCGACTGCCAGAAAGTGGCATATAAGTGCATTTGCCTGCCACACTGCTTCAGCACGCTGTGAGGGATAGTAAACAACCCAGTCCAATGCTGACACTTTTGCATTGTCTTCAGCTGTTAATTCTGCTTGCAGGTCTGGCAACTCTGTACCAGGTTCTTGGTTCCTACATAAAAATCAGGTTTCACTTCAAGGACCTGCCTAGACCATTTCAAATTTTCTGTAGTAATCTCGACTTCAACAGAACTAGGCTCATATAACAGTGGCTGAGCATTGCATTACATTACATCACATCATTAACATAACATACATTCAACAGCGAACAAAAGTAACTCCTCCATCTATTCAAAACATTGCTGGAATCTGCAAGCAATCACCATTCTAACCCTTTCCCAAGTCAGACATAACTGGTAACCTTTCTTAAATTCATTCATGCACATACGATGGGGTACCCAAAAGAAACCGAACTAATTTTTTTGTGGGCAGAGCTTTTGTAGTACCGCGTTTTGCTGCTATGAGCACATATAGCTAACATTCCTGAGTCGATACGCCGACTACCGTTGCTTCAGAAGGTAAGGACTAGTTTCGGCAGAGTTTATAGTGACAACTGTTTTGTGTGATCGTCATTTTTGCAATGGCTGATTTTCGTGAACAGCGTGCGGCGGTGAAATTCTGCTTTTTGCTCGGGAAAAGTGGAACAGAAATTCTTGAAATGTTAAAAACGGCATACAAGGATGATGCTATGGGGAAAACTCAAGTGTCTGAGTGGTTTTCCCGTTTCAAAAATGGTGAAATGTCAATTGATGACAAACCTCGTCTGGTCGTCCTTCCACGGCCTGAACACATGAAAATGTCAAAAAAATTCGCAAAATCATCAAGAAAGATCGACGAAGGACCATTGAAGAAATTGTGGAGCTGTCAGGAGTGACTTGGAGCAGTTGGGTGACTGGTTTTTCCATCATGGCAATGCCCCTGCTCACACAGCCCTGTCTGTACGACAATTCTTGACCAAAAATGGTATGGCCCCTGTTCCTCATGCTCCATACTCACCCAACCTTGCCCCGTGCGACTTTTTTTTTTGTTTCCTCGAATGAAAAGAGACATGAAAGGAAAGCGATTTGCTGATGTTGCTGAGGTGANCGCTGTCAAGCATCTCAAAAGATGAATTTAGACAATGTTTTGAAAAATGGAATAAAAGACTAGACAAGTGTATTGGTGTAAGTGGAGAGTACTTTGAAGGGGATTGAAGGTTTGTGCTTAAAATTTGAATAAATAAGTTTAAAAAAAAAATAAGTTCGGTTTCTTTTGGGTACCTCCTCGTATACAGCAGAACCTCCACTTAACATTCCTTGATTTTAGGTTTTCTCTCACTTAACATTGAACTTCAATGATCCCAAGTCAATAATTTCAGAGTTAAATTTTCTGTTTAGTGTTCAAATTCAACAAAGAAACCCAAAAGCTGGTTTCACTGTAAATATCTTTAATATTATTGTTCTTACACTTATCATTAATTTTACATTTCAGATACTTCCTTACTTTTCTTCCAAAATGACTAAGTTTCATGCCTTACACTGTTCACATTATCACTGGTAATGTGGCTCGGATTCTGCAAACACTGGAATTTAGCATGCTTTCTTTTTATCTAATTATGAGCAGTCCTTGATAAACCATGGTTCATGCTGCCTTAACTTATAATCACCAATCCTCATCTCCCACCTGTCTTGTATGGAGAAGGTAACCTATCAGGAGTTCTATATTTATTGTGAGATCCAAAGATGGATATAGAACATGTCATAATATAGAGCATAGAATACATACATACTTATTACACAACTAGACAATACAATGAATACAATAATAACAAAATTTTATCTATTTAGATATTCATCCACAGTATAAAACGTATGAGTGTTCAAGAAATGCCTTAAGACAAGCTCAAACTTTTTAAAATTATTGGATGTGTTCTCAATCTCTATGGGCAATTTATTAAATATTTTTATACCTGCATAATAAACTCCTTTCTGATAAATAATTAAATTAGCTTGAGGTAGATACAAATCTTGTCTTTGTCTAGTATCAATAGTATAAGAATCAATGTTTGATGGAAAAAGAACTTTATTTTGCAACACAAATACTAACAATGAAAATATATATTGTGACGCAAATAATAAAATATTTAACTCTTTAAATATGTTTCTACACAAAACTCTATTGCCATATCCCAACATCACTCTGATAGCCTTTTCTTGGAGAAGAAGAATACAGAACTATGAGATGAGTTACCCCAAAAGATGATACCATAGCTCATTAACTCTTTGACTGGCGCGGGCGTGTTTTAACGCCCGGACGATGCCAGCCGTTCCCTGGCGTTGGCGTGTTTTAACGCTTTGACAGTCTCTTCCCTTCTTTGCTCTCTTGGCACTCATCAACCAAAGACATATATATGATAGTTTTTGTGCATGTTTGTAAAGAACCCTTGTAAACTTTGTGGGGGTCTATATTACTGTCAGAACCCTCTGAGAAGGAAAAGGTCAGAACATATTTCACATTCATTCAGTTTCACCATGGTTTCTCGCAGCAAGTGTCGGCGTGTTCCTACAAACCAGCTGGAAAATGTTGTGAAGGAGATTTGTGCTGATGATGATAGTGGCGATAAAATAATGATTCCTGAATTAGATAAAGTTGATAGTGACAATAATACAATGATAGACAGCGATCATGAACATTTAGCTACCACGAGTGCGGTGCCTGACACGCCCATCTCATGAACGTACGGAGACATTGTACCAACAATAGTTCTATTTGTTAGTAGTTTCGGGATCAAAATTAATATAACACA